TACTGCTAAGCTGAAACTTGTAAAAATCATAACTTCCTCATACGAAGTCAGATTTTGGCGTTCTTTTTAACAAACTTCTCGGTTTAACGAATACTACGACTTTCATTTAGATCACTAAGGCTAAAAAGTACTTTATCAAAAACTCACTTTTTGCGTCATTCGGCACCGTGCCGGTTTTATCGCGGATCTTCGATTGGTCATAACTTCTTCGTTATAACTCGGATTTCGATGAGGTTTTCGCCTATATGTTTCTAACGAGATTATCTACAACTTTCAAAAATAAAAATTTTACTTATTTTAAATTTTATATTTTCGCTAAATTTCACTATTTAGCTTTTAATTGGAATCTCATAAGACTTCCAATAATTTATGAGTGATTCTAAACATAGTTTTACCTTATTTCTAGTAAAAACTATCTGTTAGAACTCAATACTCAATATCACATAATATTTCATAATATTATTTATATAAAACACGATCTCAAAACGTGTATGTTACATGTGCGCATGCCATAAAATCATATTCTTTGACATGTTTGGTTTGGGAATTGTATATGTTTTGGGAATGTGATTTTGGAGCATTCTTACTTGTCCATTACGTGTAGGATGAGAATTGAGAGTGTTCGTTACAAAGGAGTGATTCCTTAGACAACAAAGTATGGAAGGGAGAAATTCCCTTGAGTTTAACGGAAGAGATATCGTAGACTCATAAGCTAAAAGCTTGGGGATAAAATTCACAATTTCATTCCATGAGGATTATGTTGATGGTCACATGACTCTCTAAAGTATATCTAAATGAGTGAATCCTTATATATGACCTTGTAGTCATAAATTGATTTATTTGTTGAGTCAATAGACATCGACTAGATTAGCTTGCAACGTCAATTTAGGTAGAGATGTACACCATTATCCCTTAGAATGCAAGTGGCTTATATGAGAGTAGTGGATCAGGTTGTGTTAGTTACATATGCATTTGCATGATTTTATTGATGCGCCTATCCTAAACTCTTAACTATATCACTTATATCATGAAATGATTTGAGATACAATCAAAATGGTTTTGGAAAGATTTGTTATTTTGAAGAAAAAGTTTTTAAATATTTTTGGTAATCTAGCCTTAGGAATTAGGTATCTTTATCTCCAATTCCATTCTATAATTTGATTTTTGCATTACTCACTGGGCTCCCCAAGCCTAACCTATTATTTTGACATGTACTCACACATTATGAATTGAAGAATAGTAGCATGCGATTGGAAAGTTTGAAATTCTTGCATGTATGGTTTATTTAAATAATTGTTATGATATTTAAAAAAAAATCACATACACTAAACTCTGATAACTAAAAATATGCTTTGTAATTTGGGACTGTTTAATTTCGCATTTGATATTTTAAAAGACTTTAAAGAAATTTCATGAAACTTCTTATTTTATAGCCGGTGTGAACGGGTGTTTCAGAAACCCCATCCAACATCGAAACCACAACCAATGTAATAAAAAACTAGAAATTAAGATTTGATTAAAATGCAAGAATTGATTAAGATGTATGAATCCAATTCCTATTCAATTGAAATTTCTAAGCACGCATCTTCCGGATAGAGCACTCTTACCACAATAATGAGATGTAGATGTACTCTTCCAGAAGAATGAATGAGAGTTATCCATGCGAGTTATCTGGTGGAGATTGTGGGTTTCATAAGGGGTTATTTTTTGACAATGAGGGACCATTAGGGATGGTGACGATGATGGTGTCGTTGTGGTGCTTACCTAATATGTATATTTATGGTGGTGGACCGATGTCCGTCGGAGGGGA